CCAGAGACATAGCTGAGTATGGCTTCTCTGGGGAATTTAAGATCAGGGAGGGCCTTTTAGGCCAGGGCAGGAGATGGAGTGGAATCCTGACTCTGACAGTAGTCATGTGGCCTGTGACAAGCTGGGTCCACCACAGCCTGGTTCATATCATTAGAGAGGACACCCGAGACAGGAAAAACGTAAGGAGCAGAGATTTATGGGCTCCCAGGTCTGAAGGCTTTATAAGTCCATAGTCATGGTGCTGGTGTCAGTCAGCTTCTGTCAAGGGCTGGTGCCATTTCAGCCAGTGTTAAGAGCAGGAGGATCAGGGGCTTGGGCAGAGGAGGCAAAGTGGGGACTGCCTCACTCTACATAAATCTCTCTTTTGGGGGCTGGAGAGATGGCTCAGTGGTTAAGAACACTGACTACTCTTTCAGAGGACCTGGGTTTGGTTCCCAGCACCCACATGATAGCTAACAACTGTCTGTAACTCCAGTTCCAGGGGATCTGATGCCCTCTTCTGGCTTCCTTGGGCATTGTGTGATACGGGTGCACTTACATTCAGGCAAAACACTCATACACATAAAATAAAAATAAATAAGTAAGTAATTTAAAATACCTCCCCCCATGCTAAGAGAGGACTCTGTGGCTCCAGGAAGATTAACCTCATCCTGTGATTGATAGGCATTGACTCTCTGAGTGACTGACCAAAGTGCATCTTAGATGCTTTATCACTAACAGGGACACATAGCAGTTAGATTTTCACTTTGGTGTGGAGGGGATACACTGTGTTCACACTAGTAGGTACTGGTGTGTGAACTGGACCCATCAAAATCACCAGCTCTCAGGCCAATGTGAAGATTGCAATGCTGAGGGATGTGGAGGGCATGAATCAGAGCATGGTCTCTGGGCTCTAGTCACTAGCCTCTAGCGGATTTGTGACCAGAGGTGTGACTGCACCTTCCAGTGCCTCAGTTTCTTCCTTGGTAAGATGGGGTGGTAATGGTGTGTGCCATACCCCAGGGTAGTGATGAAGCATGATGGCATGGTGCTGCTAAGGAGCAGGGCTACCATAGTGATCTCTGGGTGAGCCATGCTATTGCCCTTGGCTGACAACCAGTTGCTATGGCTCTGTGTGGAGTGGACCCTCTCCATCTTCGCCATCATTGAGTCACTTGGTGAGGCTGGCACTTTTATGCCTACATGTGACTGACCAATAGAGTCCCAGAGGGGTTTGGAGACCTCCCCTGGATATAGGGTGTGGTGACTTGTAGGGGTGGTATGGGGACTGGAACCCGGGCCAAGCTGATTCAGACATTCCCAGGCCTCAGCTTACAGGGTGGCTGTGACTCAGGTTTGTGGAATAATGTGGGTGGGATGAGCTGAGTGGAAGCCCCAGCTTCTCTTTTTCAGAAGTAGAAGTGAAGTCCACATATGAAGCGAGGTCTATGTATCTTGCAGCTGGTGGCCAAGACTGGCAGAGTGAGAGCTACATACAGCCCGCTTTACAGGGCGCAGGAGGCAGCTAGATTTCTGCCTGGGCATTGCTTCACCAAATCCTGACTGAGTGGCTTTGATCTGGTTCTGGGAACATTGCCACAAACTACCCCGAATGCACTTGATCTCAGAGACTAAGGAGGGTCAGGTCTGGTTGGTACTTAGATGGGAGAATAAGTCTATGACGTGCCATCAGCTATAACAGATGCTGTAAGACTGAGGCTGGGTAGGGCACTGTGTTGGTAGTCAGTGACCTGAGGCTGAGCTGAAGGGAATGAAGGCTGGGTATCAGGACTCTGAGGGACCAGCAGAGGGAACAAGCAAGGGGCATCAGGGAGGAGATTGTACAAGGAGGGTGTGGGGAGAGTGGAACCCTCTTGCTGTGAAACAGGTGGTGTTTTTAAGATGTATTTATTGGGGGCCGTGTGTGTGTGTGTGTGTGTGTGTGTGTGTGTGTGGGTGTGTGTGTGTGTGTGTGTGTGGGTGTGTGTGTGTGTGTGTGTGTGGGTGTGTGTGTGTGTGTGTGTGTGTGTGTGTGTGCGCGTGCGCGCGCGTGTGTGTATGCCTGAGGGTGGTCAAGATTAGAAGAGGGCATCAGATGCCCTGGAGTTACAGGTGGTTGTGAGCTACAGCTGTAGCTGCCTGAGCTGAACTCTCAGACCCTCTGCAAGAGCATCAGCTCCTAACTGCTGAGTCATCTCTCCAGCCCCTGTTTGTTTTTGAGACAGGATCTCACCATGTAGCCCAAGCTTTCCTGCAACTATCCATCTTCCTGCCTCAGCCTCCTAAGTACTAGGATTACAAATGTGTTAACCTCCTACCCATCCCTGGGCAGTGGATTTGATTCTGACTGTCATGGGTCTCTAGAGTGGACTGTGTCAATCCATTCCTGGTGTGTGGTTGGCTCCTTCTCAGCTCTGCCACCTCCAGCCAGGCATGCACAGATCTCTAAGAACCAGAAGCTGAGGCTTCCTCTAACTAAACTTATACACGTCCTAGGATGCACTCTGAGTCTGTTTCTTTACTGCTGTTGGGGAACCCTGTGCTTGGTTGTCAGGGGCTCACAGAAAGACCAACAGCTAGCCCCTCCCAAATCCATCACAGGCCTGACATCTTAAACCTACAACCTTGGACTGAGACTAGAACTCAGTCTACAATGTCTTGCTAAGTACCAGATACAGCCCCAGACTCTGGCATTCAGCTATGCTCAGTTAAGCCATGACCTACAGGCCAGCTCCACTGGGGTATCTTGTCTCTCCTCCCTTGGCCCAACAAACATTCCCAGGCATTGCTGTCTGTGGGGGGTCAGAAGCACAAGCAAACAAGAACTGGCCCACAGGTGTCCCAGTCTAGAGAGCAGGTGCAGGCAGGATAAGCAGCCAGAGAAGGCTCCCAGGACAAGTGCCTCCTGACCCCCAAAGCCTGCTAACATTGTCCAGGACAAATGTGAGAAGGGTGTACATGAGGTGGAGCTGCACACATTGATGTTCAGAGGTGGCCACTGGCAGATATCTCAGGGACCACTGATGCTGGGGAGCTGGTTTGGGGTGCCTGGGGAACAGAACCTGCAGATGAGCCAGAAGCCAGATCTGTCCCATGTTGGAGCTCAGTTTCCCTATCTATACAATGGGTAGTCACAGAGATGTGAGAGCAGGGCTGGGGTGAGAGCTGACAAGTGCCAGCTGGTTGACCTGTCTTTCTGCTTTTGCCTGGTGTGTGGGTAGCTGATGCTTAGCAGCCCAGATGGAGAGAATGGGGGTGAGATTTTTCATCTTTCTGCTCAGAGCCTCTCAGCTAAGCACATTTATAAAAATTATTAACAATTGTTGATGTATATCCTCAATTTGCATTTCTTTTTGTCGTTTTGTTTTCTTGAGACAGGGTCTTACTATGTTGCCCCGGCTGGCCTGGAACTCCCTTTATAGACCAGGCTGGCGACAAATTCACAGAAATCTACCTGCTTCTGCCTCCCAAGTGTTGGGATTAAAACATATGCCACCACACCCGGTCCCTTCCTTCCTCCCTCCCTCCCTCCCTCCCTCCTTCCCTAAAGAGGAGAGACTGCCAATCCCCAAGGGTGGGGCAGCTTGGAGGCAAAGCTGTCTTTATCCTCCTGATGGGAGGTGATAGTAAAAAGAGATTGCCGATCCACAAAGGTGGGGATGGCTTAAGTGCCACCACACATGGATGCCTGACCTTATTTGGAACATGACCTTTGGCATAGTTACCTGCAATAAAACTGCCCCCAGGTTTTTTCTACACGATAATTAGGCATTGCCCTATAGCCGGATGATAGGATCCCCCTACCACATGCAAATAAAGCATAATATGAGCACCTATCAGCTGAAGCTTCAGCTGCTGCCTCCACACTATATTTTCCCTGACCGCCACTGAATAAATGGAGCTATAGCACTGAGTCTCACTCCCTGGAAGGTCTTTTCTGTCGTGCTCACTGGCTGTCCTGACCCCCGTTCGTCACTTCTGCTCCCTTTGTCCTTGTGGATCGTGGATCGGTGGCCAACGGCCCACAAGGGGAGGGAGAGACCCACTCCCTTCCTCCCTTCCTCCCTTCCTCCCTTCCTTCCTTCCTTCCTTCCTTTCTTTTGGGAGGTGGGGGGAAACAGGGTCTCTTGTAGCCCAGCCTAGCCTTGAACTCTCTGTGTATCCAAGAGTGGCCTTGAACTCCTGATTCTCCTTTTTACCTTCCCCTGTGAAAGGATAGAATTACAGGTGTGTGCCATCACTCCTGGTTTTCAACTTGGATTTCTTTTGGATTAAAGAAGAGAAGAAAAGGGGAGAGGGAGAGAAAGATGAGGAATAAAGGAAAGCAGGGAGGGGAGAAAGACAGGAAGGGAGAAAGAGGCAAAAGAAAGAAAAAGATTGGGAGAATTGGGAGAGGGCTAGGGATGTACTAGCAGGCAGAGTGCTCCCCAGTGTGCAGGTCATCTTAGGTTTGATTCCAGAAACGCATAAAGTGCACACACAGCTGCAAACCCAGTACTCAAAAGGGAGAGGCAGGTGAATCTCTGTGAGTTTGAGGTCAGCCCAGTCTATGTAGTGAGACCCCATTGCAAAAATGCAAAAACAAAGGGCTGGGTTCCTCAGGTCTAAAGGCACTGCCGCCGGGCCTGATTACCCACGTTTACTCCCCAGACCCACATGGTGGATGGAGAGAACTAACTTCCACAAGTTGTCCTCTGACCTCCATTCAAGCACACATGTGCACACATAAATAAATAAATAAATAAATAAATAAATAAATAAATAAATAA